GGGGGGGGGGCGGGAAGAACCTATGTCTGACTGTGTCCTGGCCGGTTCGAGGTGAGCCGCCAGCTCTTGGCTGCAAGGCCCAGGCCCTTGGCAGGAGTAGAGAGGGAGATAACAAGGAGGTTCCCCGGCCCCTAAGGCGCAGGAGTGGAGGGCAGGGAGTGAAGAAGGCCTGGTGTCTCGGAGCCCCTCTCTCCACGCCCACGAAGAGGGGCGCGCGAGGGGAGGGCCGGTTCAGGGCCCAGCCGGGAGTGCAGGCCGGCGGGGAGCAGAGCCACCCTGGTCACCGCCCCTCCGGGCGCGGGACGGTCGGGTTTCCTGCTGGGGAAGGTGCAAAACCAGCAAAATCTAACAAGGCAAAAAGGGGAGGAGGAAAGAGCGGGCCTGGCGGGGCCTCCGCGGCGTCCCGGGGGCTGGTGCCCGACTCTGGCCTGATCCTCACGCCCCTGCGCCCGTGCCCACCGCTGGCGTTCGGGAAGAGAGCCGGGCCGGCTGGCTGTGCGCGCCCATTAATCTGCCGGGCGGGCGGCGGGCTGGCGGGCTGGGGGCTGTTTGTAACTTTGCTGCCTCGGTCGCCGCGGTCCCCGGGGAGCGGGCTCCGGCGCTCGCTCCCATTGGCCGCCGCCGCGTCAGCTGGTGCGATTTGCTGCTGTCGCTTTTGGCGTTCGGCCATCCAGAAACAAACCAGTTCGATGACTACTAATAGTTATAGCCAGATGTACTAATACACAACAAATCACAGTCCTGCAGAGGGGCGCGCAAATGAGTTCCTATTTTGTGAATCCCACTTTCCCCGGGAGCCTGCCCAGCGGCCAGGACTCCTTCTTGGGCCAGCTGCCCCTCTACCAGGCCGGCTATGACGCGCTGAGGCCCTTCCCGGCCTCGTACGGGGCGTCGAGCCTCCCGGACAAGACGTACACCTCACCTTGTTTCTACCAACAGTCCAACTCGGTCCTGGCCTGCAACCGGGCATCCTACGAGTACGGGGCCTCGTGCTTCTATTCTGATAAGGACCTCAGTGGCGCCTCGCCCTCGGGCAGTGGCAAGCAGAGGGGCCCCGGGGACTACCTGCACTTTTCTCCCGAGCAGCAGTACAAACCCGACAGCAGCAGCGTGCAGGGCAAAGCCCTCCATGACGAAGGCGCCGACCGGAAGTACACGAGCCCTGTTTACCCTTGGATGCAGCGGATGAACTCCTGCGCGGGTAAGGCTTGTCCCTGCAGCCCCCGCCCGCCCCCCCCCCCGGCAGTGGAGGGAGAGGGAGACAGGAAAAGAAGGAAGGAAGGAGGAAACCAAGTAGGAAGAGGAAAGAACAAGTAAAGTTTCTTTGCCTGTAGAAAGAGATTTTAGGAAAAGAAAGAAAGGAGGGAAGAAAAGAACTCCATTCCCAATGGGGCGATCAGGCCAAGGCAGGGCATCCGTGTCCATGTAAGGTGACGCCTGAGAAGAGGGTGGGGGGAATCACTGCCATGCTATGTGAGACCCGTGACTGGGGCACCCTGAAGAGAGAGGCTGGTCCGGGAAAGCCTGCCCATGCTGCGTCCTGGGTACACCCAGCTCGGGTTCTCAAGCCAGAGGGCCTTCTGCACATCCTCACTGATAACCCACCTCCACCTCCCACCTCCCTCTCCATGCTGCCCTTCAGAAACCCACACACAGAGAGTGCCATTTGGCCTCCTCCAGTGTCTCCCCAAAGCCTTGAGAGGGCCCCAGCCTCAGCCCCAGGATTTTTTTCCTGCTCTCTCTTCCCGCCCCCCGCCCCCTTTTCCTCAACTGCTCACTCTCAGCCAACTTCTGCCTTCTGAGCCCCAGACACCTGTCTTGGGGGGACACCCACCACCGGGGGCATCTTGGGCACCAGATCAGACAGCCCAACCCAGTCCTACCTTGCCTGAAACCCCAGGCTTCCCATAGCTCCATCCCTTCACTCCTGGCTTCCAAAGACTCCACAGGGATTCCCCTTTGCCTTGGAGCAGGACAGAGCCTAATGCAGATTTTTGAACTTAGTGTTTTGTGTTGAA